CCCCCCCTTTGTGTGCCCCCTTCAGCAGGCTGCCGCGATGCCCCTCAACGTCAGCTTCGCCAACAGGAACTATGACCTCGACTACGACTCGGTGCAGCCCTATTTCTACTGCGACGAGGAGGAGAACTTCTACCAGCAGCAGCAGCAGAGCGAGCTGCAGCCGCCGGCGCCCAGCGAGGATATCTGGAAGAAATTCGAGCTGCTGCCCACCCCGCCGCTGTCCCCGAGCCGCCGCTCTGGGCTCTGCTCGCCCTCCTACGTCGCCTTCGCGTCCTTCTCCCCCCGGGGGGACGACGACGGCGGCGGCGGCAGCTTTTCCACGGCCGACCAGTTGGAGATGGTGACCGAGCTGCTGGGAGGAGACATGGTGAATCAGAGCTTCATCTGCGACCCGGACGACGAGACCTTCATCAAAAACATCATCATCCAGGACTGCATGTGGAGCGGCTTCTCGGCCGCCGCCAAGCTCGTCTCGGAGAAGCTGGCCTCCTACCAGGCTGCGCGCAAAGACAGCGGCAGCCCGAGCCCCGCCCGCGGGCCCGGCGGCTGCCCCACCTCCAGCTTGTACCTGCAGGACCTGAGCGCCGCCGCCTCCGAGTGCATCGACCCCTCCGTGGTCTTCCCCTACCCGCTCAACGACAGCAGCTCGCCCAAGCCCTGCGCCTCCCCCGACTCCGCCGCCTTCTCTCCGTCCTCGGACTCTCTGCTCTCCTCGGCGGAGTCCTCCCCGCGGGCCAGCCCCGAGCCCCTGGCGCTCCACGAGGAGACACCGCCCACCACCAGCAGCGACTCTGGTAAGCCGGGCCCCTCCCGGCCCGTCCGAGGGGGCGGCTGGGTACCCTTCCTGTTCTCCTCGGCAGCTCATTCCACTGGCCGCTTCTGCCGACCCCGGCTTTTCTCTTTTCTTCTATTCGGGAAGGGAAATGCTAGATCTGGAAGGAGCTGTCTGGGAGCTCATCCCGGAACCCTGGGCTTCAGGGTTTCCTCCCATCCCCTCTCCTAAGACCGCCCCAGTGGCCGGCCCCCTCCTCTCCCTCCCTCCCCTTAGGAATTTCTTTGGGGTTTTTCAATCTTCTGGCTTATCTTGCAACTCAATCCACTCCCTCTTAGTTTTCTTCAGCATTTTAATTGCCCCCGCGGTGGGGGTGTGCGAGAAGCGGGAGAGGAGGGGATTGATCTCTGAGAGCGGAGGGATGGCTTCCCTCCTCCCTTCTGAGTAGTTCTTGGGTTTCCCTGGACTAGGATCCACAAAAAAATGAAGACGGGCAGTGGACAGAGGCAGAGCGGCCTGCCTCCCAGGCGCTGTGACCTAGTGACAGTGGCTTTAGATGGGCTGAAGAGCCTGGGATCTGGTCAGCCTGTTTGGAACACTTAAAAGCAAATCCTTGCCAAAATTGGGCTTTTTTTCCTCCCCCCACCCCTGGAACTTTTGGCAAAGCCGCAAGAATTTTTTTTTTCCTTTTTGCCCTTCCAGTAAAATAGGGAATTGCTAAAGTCATAGCAAGAGACTCTATCATTTGCAACACCTGAAGGGTTCTTGGTACAGTCCCTTGAAAAGAGGAGGTGCTTGGGAATGTGCTTTGCTTTGGGTGTGTCCAAAGCCTCATTAAGTCTTAGGTAAGAATTGGCATCGATGTCTTATCCTGGTAAATTGTAATTTTCTCATCTGTGCCGTAAACCCAGCTGTCATTCTCCCTTTCTGACTCTGCCTTCGTTGCGAGAAGAGCTGGGTTGATTGGCTAATTTGCTCTCCGGGGATGACTTTGTGCCAGGGCCCTTTCTCACAGGATAACGCCTTATATTTGCATAGCATTAATTTAATCTGGTCCTTGATTGCTGTGAGGACACGTCGCTAACCCGCGCGTTTTCTTTTTCCTTTCTTAAAGAGGAAGAACAAGAGGAAGAAGAAGAAATTGATGTCGTTTCTGTGGAGAAAAGGCAGCCCCCTGCCAAAAGGTCGGAATCGGGGTCACCCTCTGCCGGAGGCCACAGCAAACCTCCTCACAGCCCACTGGTCCTTAAGAGATGCCACGTGCCCACCCATCAGCACAATTACGCAGCGCCCCCCTCCACTAGGAAGGACTACCCAGCCGCCAAGAGGGCTAAGTTGGACAGTGGCAGGGTCCTGAAACAGATCAGCAACAACCGCAAATGTATCAGCCCCAGGTCTTCGGACACGGAGGAGAACGACAAGAGGCGGACGCACAACGTCTTGGAACGCCAGAGGAGAAACGAGCTGAAACGGAGCTTTTTTGCCCTGCGCGACCAGATCCCAGAGTTGGAAAACAACGAAAAGGCCCCCAAGGTGGTTATCCTTAAAAAAGCCACCGCGTACATCCTGTCCGTCCAAGCAGGGGAGCAAAAGCTCATTTCGGAAAAGGACCTGTTGAGGAAGCGACGAGAACAGTTGAAACACAAACTTGAACAGCTAAGGAACTCTTGTGCATAAATCCACCTATTAGAGGGAGGAACTGGAGTTGCTCGTGAATTCTCACTTGTTACTAAGGGAAAGTAAGGAAAAAGCTTCCTTCTCACAGAACTGTAGCAACTCCTCATATCTGAACTTGTTTCAAATGCATGGTCAAGTGCAACCTCACAACCTTGGCTGGGTCTTAGGATTGAAAGGTTTAGCCATAATGTAAACTGCCTCAAATGGAATTTTGGGCATAAAAGAACATTTTTTTATGCTTGCCATCTTTTTGTTTGTTTGTTTTCCTTTAACAGATTTGTATTTAAGAATTGTTTTTAAAAAATGTGTCAAGTTTACCCCGTTTTCCTGTGTAAATATGGCCATTAAATGTAAATAGCTTTAATAAAACGTTTATAGCAGTTATACAAGAATTCAAACCATGTATTATAAACCATAATTTTTTTTATTTAAGTACATTTTCCTTTTTAAAGTTGATTTTTTCTATTGTTTTTAGAAAAAATAAAATACGTGGCAAATATATAATTGAGCCAAATCTTAAGTTGTGAGTGTTTTGTTTTTCTTGCCTTTTTTTTCTATTTTCTTTTCATCAATTCCAATTAACAGAATTTGGCCCTCAAGGGAATGAGTTTACAAAGATGGAGAAAGAAGTTATTGAAAGGGCAAGGGCTTTGCTTTGTTCAAATGGGTCTGGGTCCTTAAGGTCTTTTAAATTCTGAGGGTTATAAGATGCTTCCTGGAGATCTGTGATAGGGGCCAGAGTTGCTACTTGGAAGAATGAACAGGCAGTAAGCTGGTGAGAAGGCAAAGGGATGCCAGAGGTTAAAGATAAGTTAAGTATACAAAGGGGGTAAGGTTTGCGGGGAGAGGGGGTGGGAGGAAGATGAAGAAACTTCACTTGGTTAACCCATGCCACTCCCAGGCTACATTCAAACCCAGACGGTAGGAACCAGCCCCCTGCTTGCCTCTATGCTAGGCGAGGGAGGCAAGTTATTAACCCTATTTTACAAACAATGAAATGTAGGGGCGTAGAGGGGTTTTGTAATTTCTCTGCAGCCACGGGGCCATGCTGTAAAACACTGAATCCAGGTCACCCCCACCCCCACCCCCCCATTTTTTGAAAAACAACACTATCATGCCTTAGCTCATCCTGTGTCTAAAGTGCCGGGGTCAAGAATGCTTTTGGCTTGGGGCCTGATGGACTGACTAATCACCATACTAACCTACTTAATGTGCCAGGCATTCTTGTAAGCATTTTCCTTACAATAATTGCACAGCAGCCCATGACGGGAATCAGCCCAATGTTGACTTCCTTATGGTAGAAGGGGGAACTGAGGCACAGAAAGACTCCTGCATGTGCCCGAAGACCACTGATGATGAACAGTAGAGCCAAGATTCAAACCCAAGGAGTCCACTCATAACACAGGTTATGTTATGAGGCTAGACCTCCTCTGTCAAACAAGCCGGTGGGAATAGACTGGCTGCTCACGCAGGAGTCACCAGTCTAGCGGATTATGTGCTGTGAATTTCAACTTTTCGGGCCCTGTGGGACATCAGTGCCCCCTTTCTTGCTTGTTGTGTTTCATTTCGTTATTTTGTTCATTGTTTCTTAAATTTTTTTTTATTTTTTTTTAATTTTTTTTTCAACGTTTATTTATTTTTCGGACAGAGAGAGACAGAGCATGAACGGGGGAGGGGCAGAGAGAGAGGGAGACACAGAATCGGAAACAGGCTCCAGGCTCTGAGCCATCAGCCCAGAGCCCGATGCGGGGCTCGAACTCCCGGACCGCGAGATCGTGACCTGGCTGAAGTTGGACGCTTAACCGACTGTGCCACCCAGGCGCCCCTCTTAAAATTTTTTTTTAGTGTTTATTTATTTTTGAGAGAGAAACAGAGTGCAAGTGGGGGAGGGGCAGACAGGAAGACACAGAATCCGAAACAGGCTCCAGGCTCTGGGCTGTCAGCACAGAGCCCTAATAGGGGCTGGAACTCATGGACTTCAAGATCATAACCTGAGCCAAAGTCAGACAACCGACTGAGCCACCCAGACACCCCTCATGTTTTGTTTATGAGAAACCCACAAGTCATTCGCTCCTACCTTAGCCATTTGTTAAATGAGATTCACCCATTGCTCCTGGGAAGCAGCCAGTTTGGAGAACTACTGTTCAGATCATAAAATAAAACACATTTACTCCTCGTCACGTGAGTCATTTTGGAAACTACAAACTCCCCTTCAACCTCTGATATAGGGACACTCATGACACCTGGTTATCCTTAGAACATGAAAAGGCATTTTTAAATGGAGATATTATTAATTATAAGGCTTCGCAAACCCAGGAACTGGCACATTGACTACTTAAGCGAATGGAAGTTACTATCGCTGTTCTAATCATCTTGCCGTTCCAGCCTCAGAGTAGATTCAGATCCTGGACTCTTTAGAACTTTAATCCACCACCACCAGCATCAACCACCACCCAAACATCAATAAATAATTACTGTCTGTGGTTCGGAACTCTAGGATAATTTATTCAAGCCCTTAATGTCTTTTTCTGGATCCTTTGTTTTGGATCCTAAATCCCACCCTAATAGTTTCATGTAGTCACACCCTATACCCTAAATTCAAAGGGAGATACAATCCACAGAAGTGCAATAGTTCAAAGTGTTACAAAAGCGGGGGCGATCTTAAAAGATTCATTCTTTGTCCCTTTGTGGCTGGAGTGCAGTTCTGGAGCAACTCGAGAACAAGGAAGGTGTTAATTTGAATCACTCAGTCCAGGCGGAATAGGTGAGAGTGTTCCTCACTGGGAAAACAACTCCCTGTTCCAAATTATCAAGAAACAATTTAACCATGCAGAGCTTGGCTGTGGGGAGGGAAGGGAATCATCCCAGCTGCGGAGTTTAGGCCTCCCTCTCAGGTATATGAAGCTAGAGAAAGGTCTCAAAACAGAGCAAATGCCAACTTTTTTTCCAGAAAGTCAGGCTGATCTTGACCCCAACACAGATTGGTTCCCAGAGCCAACCCAGAGGGTCCCCAGGATCTACGCCATTGTTTGATCTATCTTGTAGATAAGAATAATCAGGAATCGGAGGTGGAGGGGAGGAGCTTGCGATTTTGTGGAGAATCAACGGGAAGGAATGAGCTACTACTGACGATGCCTCTTAACCCAGGACAATGTCCAGGAATTAATGACCACCCCAGGGGATTCTGGGGGTGATTCTGTGTAGGGATGGAATGTATAAAGAGGAAGGAAGTGTTATTTCATGCTGCCATTTGGAAGCAACAAAGGAGATCCACGTTATAAAAACAATCAAATGTTTAAATGAACAAAGTTTTCACCACCCTGGCCTAAGAGTCACAGCTAGGATAAGACAAACTCTGGCACAAAGCTTGGGAAAGAAGGCAAGTGTTAGGGGGTTTTCTGTGGTTGGTTTGTAACAGCTTATGATTGGCTCAGTCAGTAATAATTTCTTAGCATACACGCTAGGGGCCCTGAAGCATTTCTTCCCAACAATAAATAATCCTTCGGCTCGAAAATGTTGAAGGGTGTCCCACAACACTATCTATAAATGCACGGGTAGCTTTACGAAAGCCTCCTCGTTTAAGGTTATAGACCATTACAGGCCTATTTCAAAGGAGAAGGAGGGTGAAAACAAGCTAATAGGATGAGAACAGAGACGCATTTAAAAAAATAAAACTAAAAAGACTCTACACCCACCACTGAGACTGTGGCAATAATCTTTCTCTATCCTAGATCCTTCCGGAGAGAATTTAGACTCATTCCCAAGAATGTTTGTCTTGCCTAACTGGTGGGAGGTGATCATCCCTGAGATGCTTTTGCGTTTTGTTTTTAATGCCATTTCTCTCAATATTAGTCCCTACCCAGAAGACATCGTTGTGGGGTGCCAGAGCCAGTGGGATGTAGATCTTCTAAGGTTGAAAGGAATGTTCTTTGTTTTTAAACAATGCCTTGAGAGCTCAGCCACAAACCGGAACACTCTCTTCCCATTGTTACCCCATCAGCTGATCCAGGGATAAAACAAGCCAGTGCAGTCAGGGGTCTCCAGGGGTGGGGAAAGGGAGAGCTTGGAGAGAGAGAATTAACCTTCATCACACACCTACTATCTGCCAAACCCTCTATCTCCTGGTCCCTCACAACAGCCCAGCTGGAGAGGGATTGTTGCCTATGACAATGCTGAAGGTGCCACAAGTTCAATAGCTCTCACTACGTGCCAAACACTTCGCGTACATTATCTTTCTTCATCCCCAAGGCAACTCTTAGGAGATAAATTCTATTTCCAATCCCCATTTTATACATAAAGAGATTGAAATATGGAGAGATTAAGTAGCTTGACGACATTCACAGAACTGGCAAAATGGTGACAGCGGGAATTATTCATTGGTTCATAAACATTTACTAAGCACCTACTGTGTGCCTACACTGTACTGGGTGTGGGAAGAGATGCTCAGAAAGGTCCTGGCCCTGAGTCACCTATGGCCTGGTCGAGAACCAAGAACTGGTAATCAGCCTCTACGTTATTTCAAAACACTTTTAGGGGTGCCTGGGCGGCTCAGTCAGTTGAGCATCTGACTCTTGACTTTGGCTCAGGTCATGATCTCATGGTTTATGAGTTTGAGCCCTGCATCTGGCTTCATGCTGACAGCGCAGAGCCTGCTTGGGATTCCGTTGCTCCTTCTCTCTCTCGGCCCCTCCCCTGCTTCCTCTCTCTCTCTCTCTTTTTCTCTCTCTCTCAAAATAAATAAATAAACATTTCTTTAAAAATAAAATCTTTAGGGGCGCCTGGGTGGCTCAGTTGGTTGGACATTCAGCTTCGGCTCAGGTCATGATCTCGCAGCTGGTGAGTATGAGCCCCACGACCTGTGCTCTGTGCTGACAGCTCAGAGCCTGGAGCCTGCTTTGGATTCTGTGTCTCCTTCTCTGCCCCTTCCCCAGCTCACACTGTCTGTCTGTCTGTCTCTCTCTCTCTCTCTCTCAAAAATAAATAAATATTAAAAAACTTAA